AAAAGCAGGTGAAAAGAATCTGCTAAATTCATCATATGAGCAAGTTTTAAAAATTTAGTTAATGTATCATAATTTTCTCATTTTTCTAGGTCTTACCTTTTAGGTGAATTGGCCCAGTGGCCACGCAGCTGAAAAACTTCCAGCTGTGGCTAAGTTACTGCGCCATTGTGTAATGCTCTGATACATTCATTAAAAATATCTTTTTCAGAAAGGTCAGACCTCAAGGCATGAATACAGTCTATCCATGATGAAATTTAAATCCTTACACATGTCCACAGAGCTTTTGAATCTGAGTACATTGCCCTAGCCTGCTGATAATATTTGAAATTCTCTCGAATAGACACCCAGTGAGTTTTTGATCATCATCCAAAGTATTTAGGTCACTTAGGAATGTAATACATTGCAAAGCAATCCTTTTCTCTGAGCTAAAATCTGTTTTACCCATTAAAGCAGGGAACTTTCTGCCCCGAGCTTCAAATATATCTTCATCCCCACAGTTTCCTTTATTCTCTCAATACTCAGAAGACAAGGTGAGCCTTCTTCACTTTAGGACTGACCCTCTATCTGTGCTCTCTTTTTGGAACTTGCTTATCAACTATTCACTATCTACCATATATCTTCAATAAGTCCCTTTCTATTATATCTTCAACTCTTCTGTCCCTGCTGGGTCATTTTCTATAGACTAGAAATAACCTCATTCTTTCTCATACTTACATGTCTACCCTTTGCCGGGCATTACCCATATACCTCCACCTTCCCCACTTTACAATCTCAGTGAGGCTTCTTGGACCCCTAGAGATTCATAGTTCACCCTTTTCTGTTGAGGACCCTTGTCTAGGTGCCCTGGCTGCCCAGCGTCAGAGTGGACAATCTACCATTTTGTAAGGCTGAAAGAAATACTGGCCAATCGGATACTCCCAGTCAGGACTCTGGCCCTTATGAGAACTGCACAAAGAAGCGGGGGCTAGCAGGGACTTGTAGCTTCATCAGTGGTAGCATCTTGTGACCGGCGGTTAGATGTAGAAATTATTAGCACAGAGACATTCAATGTCCAGATGTGACAGCGAGGGCTACTATCTGGGCTACTCCTGGTGTGACTTTAAGAATTAGTTCAACAAGTTATAAATATTCACTACAGCCTGACAATCAATACAAAAATGAGGATGCTGTCAATTAAGAATATCTTCTTCTTTTTTGTATACATGAACTGTATTTTCTATATATTATTATATATGTATTATATATTGTATATATACTATATACACAAAATACATATATTGACAACTTTTCTCTTTTTCTTTTTTTTAATCCTCACCCAAGGATATCTTTTAACTGCTTTTAGAGACAGCAGAATGGAGAGAGGGGGAGAAATACTGACTTGGGAGAGAAGCATCAGTTGGTTGCCTTCTCATACATACCCTGACTAAGGATCGAACCCACAACCCAGGATGTGCCCTGACCAGGAATAGAACCCCTGACTTTTTTTTTTTTGGTCTATAGGATGATGTTCTAACCAACTGAGCCACCAGCCAGGGCTTTTTTGTTCTTTTTTTATTATATTAAATAATTTCCTATGAATTTTTGCCTTCCCCTATCATTTTACATAAAAGGATTCTTGGTGGTGTTAACTTTACAATTTAGTATTTAGTTTACCGAATATTCACTTAAGTGGGATTGAGTCTAAATGGAAAGAGAAATTAATATTGTCCAGATATCAGTTCCGTAAACATTGCCCAGAAATGGACACAATGACAAAGGACACACAGCATTGCCCTGTTTTTGGTGTCTCCTTTTGTTCAAAATGTAGTTGCATTCTACTAAGTGAAAGCATAAAGCTATAGGGAAGCTGTAGTTCAAGAATGTGTAGAAAGGTGTGTGGACGCTATGTAGCCAACAGGGTGAGTTACGCTGGTGATGCAGCTCTTGTCTCTCAGCTTTCCTAATCTGTGGCTGCAACTCTGCACACTACTGAATGTTGGCTAATTTCTACCTAGAGGGGGCGCCAGGACACCAGAAGGTTGATAGAGGGACAAGGGACTTCATCCTTCTTGTTTCGCTTTCCATTCATCACCCAAGTCTCTTCAACTGGGGACCTGCAGTGGATTTCAGTAACCAGGTTGCCCCAGCCCCACATTCTCAGAACCAACCACAGCACAGCTCCTCAGAGACCCCTCAATACCGGCCATCTATTTTCCCCTCCCCATTTATATGCCTTCCAGCTCTACATGGACCCCTCCATCAAGTATGTGAAGAACCAGTATCAACTCCTCAGAAGTCAGCTCTTCCACATACTTCCTCTGAGTTTCTCCTTGCTCTAGCTACCACCCTTTCCTCTCCCTGAAACAGCTCTGGCCAAAGTCCCCATGACTTCGGCATTGCCAAATCAATAGATATTATTCAGATCTTACTACACCTTTCTGTTATATCTGGCACAACTGAGTTCTCAATAGTTTCACCTTTAGATAATATTATCTCTTCATCAATAATTTTTACCTCATTAATACATTTCTGGAGGATAAATTGACAAAATTTTCTTAGAAAGCATTTTAGCAATATTGATTCAACAAATAATTTTGAAGTATTGTGTGACTCCTTCCAGTGAGTTAATTCTAGAGTTAGGAGTAGTGGTAAGCATAGCAAGTGCTGAGTGTGTACATTTAGTAAGTGGTAGATACAGGTGGTCCGACTCTAAAATATATCTTTGCAACCTCTCTACCAGGGATTCTCAAACTTTGGTTCTATCAGAATCACCTAAAGGGCTTGGAAAAACACAGATTGATGGATCCCACCCTCAGAATTTCTGATTCACTAGTTCTGGGTGGTGCTAGAGAAGTAAAATTTCTAAGAAGTCTCCAGGTGATGCTGATCAGCTTCTCAATACCACCTACTAACGTTTTTTTTTTTCTTATTAGCTCTTATTCATCCTTAGACACTCAACTTGTTGATGGGAGAGACCCGGTTCTTCTTGCTGACACGTGTAAAAAACTACAGATCAGCAAATCTACTAGCATGCAATCAGTTTACTAGGGGTCCATTCCCGTGGAAGAGAATGGGACTAGCTAGAGTGTGGGATGAAAGGCAAAGAGTCAGGGCAAAGCAGGGTGGCAAAAGTAGGAGCGGCTGAAGACCAGGTGGCAAGCCCCCGGGTGGTCTGAGACCGGGTGGCCAGAGAGCCAAGAGTGCCAAGAGCACCCGAAGCTCCCTGAGCCCCTGAAGAGAGAGAGGGCCCTTTGTTTGGGGGATTTATATAGTTGGTGGGATAGGAGAAAAAAGTTACATATTGATTAACATGTAAATGTGGTGCCAGCTTTCCTGGGGGGAATGTGACTACCCAAACTTAGGTATGTGTGGGGGTCTGTTAGTCCAAATCCTTATCTTGCTCCAGACTCCATTTGTTCACCTTGCCATAAAACAAATACATGGCAAGAGGCAGTTCATTAAAGTGGGGCGCTTTCCCAAAGTCATTTAGGGGCTTTTTCTATAAACACTAGAAACTCCCTAGTAAAACAGATGGTGACCAGAGACAGATAATTAACCAAAGTTGTTCTATGGGCTTCTTCTTTGGGCACTGTGGACCTTCTCACTCATTCTAGGCCCTGGGACGAAAGCACGGTTTCAGGACTTTCTTTCCCAGGTAGTGGAAACATCCGTAGAATTTCAAGGACTTCCCTTCTTTCTTGCTAACATAATGTTCCTTGTGATGTCAGAACACCTGGCAATATTATCAGACCAGGCTCAGCACTAAAGAGTTTGCGGGTGAGACATGTCTCCTTCCTCCTCCCTGCCTCAGTTTGCTATTCATTCTATTTAAGTGCTAAGAGGCATTTCCTGGCAACCAGGACGCTAGATGCGGGCAAGTGACAGCAGTGCAGTCTCAGAGTTCTTCCTATGCTGTCTCCTGCCTCACACTCAGCCCTCTCCTTCCTCAGGCAGCCCTCGCACCTGTCTTCCCTCACCAGCTGTACTAGATAACCTCATTTGAGGCCCCCACTGCACCCCTGTGTGCCCATGGCTTCCTGTGCCCACCAAACACACACCAGTAACCACCGACGCTGAAACCCTGTGCCTGTCTCCACCACCAGCCTGAGAGCGCTTCAAGGACACAGATCATACCTATTCTTTGTTGGGGGGGGTTGACAAATCTAAATTTATTTCTTTACATTTTTTTTTGTGGCAAACATGAAATTTACCATTTTAGGTGCACAATTCAGTGACATTAAGTACATTCACACTGTTGGGCAGTCATCACCACCATCCCACCTTCATAACAATTTACATCCTCCCAAACTGAAACTCTGTACACACCTAAACAAGAGCCCCCCACTACTTCTACCCCTAGTCTCTGGTAACCATCATCCTGTTTTATATCTGTTTATCTTTGTATGTATCGTGTTTCTAGCACCTCGCCTCCTAATGGCGTGATTTCTCTATCTGGAGAACTGAAGGTGAGTCTTTCTCAAGCATCAAACAAAAGAACAAATGAGGAAGAATCTTAAAGAGTTAAAAGTCATGTAGAAATGGTACGTATGAATACTGGAGTTCTTAGTAAACTTGAATACTGTATTCGCTGTGAGGATCATAAGTGTATGGGTATTCGAAACCAGCATCTTGGCACTGCACATAGCACAAATAAAATTAATCACCTTATACTTTTCACACAATAATGAGGAAAAAAGTCTACCTGAAAAAAATAGAAAACAAAATGTTCCCATCCTCCACTTAAACATCAGAGACCGCTAAATTGAATTCACATTTTTTTCAGAATATGTGCCCATTCCTGTCTGCAATGTCTTGCCACCTGAATCAACAGGAGCAGAAAAAAGAAAACTTAATGGAACAGAAGGTTGTATAAAAAATATATAAATTCCCTCACAGAAATTTACACAACATAAAAGGAAATGTGGGGATAGGAAAGGTTTCACAATCCGCTTCTGTATACAGGCACTGTCTCATTCCCTAAAAATGTGTCATAAAAATGTACAAATTAATTTGGTACTTACAGAACATACAAAAGATGGGCCTTAAGGTCATAATTCTTGAAAGAATCCTTAAATAATGGCTCTATAGAACAGATGAATAACTTCAAGTCCTCTTTCATCCAGCACTGTATGTTCCAGTTTGCACCTGAATTAAAAATAAACTACTTTAAATCTGAAAAACATTTTGAACAACTCACTGACAGAGAAGAGCTAAATTAAATTTACCAGTGTTCTGTTACAACTTCCACTGCCCGTTCTGAGAGGAAAAAAAACAGTTACTGCCTAGTGGTGTGTGTTGGCCAAGTCCCACGGCCCCTTCGGCCTTCCGACTCCTTTTTGTGTAAAGTAAGGGAATTAAACTCAATGACTGCTTCTCAAACTTTTTTACCCTGAACCACGTGAGTAGGACAAACCCGAAAAACAAAATCCTCACGTAGCTCACTTCATGCTCACTTTCCAAGAGAAAAGAGAACATTAAATATCAAAGTACAAGCAAATTTGGAGCAGCACTTATGTGTGTCTGCTTTAGCAATAAAGGTATGATGATTCACGTTTGAACTGGGATGCATGTCAAATCCTTGCGATTATCATATTACAGGCTTCAGCATAACTGGGGAAAGCTTATTCCCCTGCACACTGAAAAACTCACCTGGTAATATAGGAAAACTATAAAGGTGATTTGTAATTTAGAAAGCAAGAATAGCAATGACTGAAACTAAAGACTAATGTAAGACAAGACTAAACTTCTTCAGGCAACACCAACATATTTCCTCAAACCTGAGGGATTTCTATCTAGGAGAAGGACTTTGCAACCTTCTTGAGCCCTATGAAGTTATCAGCCTCACGGCAGAATAATAAATGGAAATCCTCAGTAACCACTACTGAAATTAGTAACTTTAGTTACAAAACTTTTAATTCACTTAGGAGTAACTAGGTATTAGCCTTTATTTATATGGCATATAGAATTAAAATCTACAGCAGTGAAAATATTAACATTTTCTGATCATTTCAAAGCTTACCCCAAGGGCCCTGACTTTTTTTAAGTTCATTCTTAGTACATTTAATAATCACTGGAATGGCTACGTTTCCTTACAATATTTTTTAAGTGTTTCATTTTAATGATGATGCAGTGGAATAAAAATTCCACTGTATAACAAAATTAAATTAAATAACTGTGGATTCAATGGGAGGTACTGCTAACTTGTTTTAAAACTGATTTTACTGCATATTTATGCTTTATGCTTATTCCTAAACTGATTTCAACAAGCTGGAGTGTTCCCTCCATCTAATCAGCGGTGCCCCACCAGGGGCAATCGGACCCTCCACAGTGCATCTGGCGAAGTCTGGAGATATATATGTATGGACTGTCCCTACTGGGAAGGGAGTGCTGCAGACATCTCGTGGGTAGAAGCCAAGGATACTGCTAAATCTCCCACAACACACAGAACAGCTCCCATAACCGAGGATCATCTGGCCCAAAATGTCAAAAGTGGTCAGGTGGAGAAATCCTAATGAGTCCTGCATAGGTGTGCTTTACCTATATGAGCTTTATTCTCACACTGTAGGTCTCTTATTACCGAGTCAATTGACTCTGCTCTATTAGTGCTTCCAGAAGGCTTAGAGATAATGATGTTGTTTATATCTCCAGGTGTGGCATTTTAAAAAATATTTCTTTTTTATTTGAGAGACAGGGGAAGGAGGAGAGGAAGAGAAACATTGATATGAGAGAGAAACATTGATTGGTTGCCTTCTGCCCTCTGTGAGCACCCAGATGGGGGCAGGGCAGAGTCTGAAACCCAGGCACGTGCCCTGACTAGGAATAGAACTGGCGACCTTTTGGTTTGCAGGATGACGCCCAACCAACTGAGCCATGCTGACCAGGATGCAACATTTTTAACTACACTAGCTACATTCAGTGGTCATTATAGTAATTCTTTGCTTAAACAAATATTATTCATAAATGCTTTACAATTTAACTAATTTAAATATGTTCTCTAACAAAAAAAAATAAGGTGTGCTTTTCCTATTTTAAAGCAAATTTTGAAGACTGCAAGAAATGAATTTATAAGTTAAAAAAGTTCCCTTGTTACATTTTTATTTTATTTTATGGGATATTAAGAATTTGGGGTTTATTAATTTGGTCACATGATAAATCCTAATTTTATAACTAACAGAAGATGCTAACATAAGATGTGTGAAGAATCCCATCCCCAAGGCATCTATTTCATACATTTTTCAGAGAATGAAAACATTTTGTTCAATACAATTAAATAACAGCTAAATGTTGGGGCATTAATATACTTACCTGTTTGCTGAAAAGCTAAAGAATTTACTGTTGAAACCAATGCCTTCCCTTCAATACCATCTGCACGCACAGAGCAGTTTTTATCTTCCTCCCTCCAGAAGCAACAGTGGAAAGTTGTTTGGGATAATAAGTTAGAAGAGTTGGTACCACTTGAATTCAATTTAGCTTCAAAAAATGTCTCAGAATGTCCATTCAAATGTGAGGTGTTCTTCGAGATTCCAGCAGGCATGAGGAAGTCATAGGTTGTGTTTGGTGGCATGCAAAACAACTTAATGGGATATGCCAAGTTAAACGCCGTTACCAAATAAATAAATTCTGTTTGGACAGTAAAAAGATGCATGGAAAAACAATTAATCATTTTGGCTAAGACAAAAATAGCAAGTATCTACGAACAAACCATGCAGTGCTCAATAGTAATTATTTAACTTTCCAAGTGCTCAACCAGTGCCTGACAGCACATAGCTCTGCCCTTCCCTTGTACAGCGAGCAGACTTGAGTGGGTACCTTTATTTCTCAGGACAACTTCACACTCTAAAACCCCTTTTTGGAAATTCATGCTTCCTTTTCCTCACTAGTCTCACATATATTTTTTAAAGAAAGGAAATTATAATTAAATATTTCCATTTCTTTTTCTAAAAAACAATATTCCAATGAACTCCAGCATGAATAAGAAATATCTGGATGGCCAATTACATAAACAAATACTAAAGTGCTGTTTTAATATTTCTGAAAGAGAATAACACTGAAATGTTAACAGTACTTTCACTGAATGCTTCTAGAAAGCTTTTGTCTTCAATGTCAGGATAGCTGGATGACCTGACTCTGCCATTAATCCTCCAGATGTACGACATCACATAAGTCATGCCCTTAATGCACTCTCCAAGAACTAAGGCACAATGACAAGATTTCTTACAGAAATCTTCCACTGCTGATTAAAGACAATGATCACTTAAGATACATAAAAGTTAAAACACGTATGTAATCCTGTAACAAAAAGGTCCTCAAGTTTTAAATAATTGTTTAAAAATAAAATAACAATTTTCCATAGTTCTTTCTTCTACAAGTTACCCAAATAATCCTACAGCTGTGTTACTTCAGATACAAACTAATGAAGAATGAGAATCCTGAGAATTCTGCATGGATTTATATGGAATAAATATATTGAAGGATTAGGGAAATGTAAAAAAACAGAAATGTTTAAAAATCAATTTACAATCATTTTAAGTTATAAAAATAATACATGTAAAAATATTCAGATAATACATAAATGACTGTTAACAATTTGGTTTCTAAATCCTTTCTATAAGTTATCATAAATATGTATCAGATGCAAAAATTAAGGCACAAATAATTAGCATGACTAATATTTTGCCCACAGTGTTCACGATTAGCTACCATAACATTACCGAAAGTGAATCCTCATTGAAGTTGTGTTCCTTTGTACTTCGATATTACTAACACATTTCTAAAATTATAATATCTCAATGAAAAAAGAATAAGTTATTTCTTTGGTGTTACAAAACCATAAATATGTGTTTTTTAATTAAAAGCATTATATTTTCTAGCTGCACGTGGAGAATTCAGTTGGCTGAAATGAAATTAGCCTAAATTCCTCAAAGAAGAAATTTAAAATGTAATAATGAATGTCACAAACATAGCAATTATTGAATCAGTTTAATTAGAAGTGATCCTATTTTGTTTGCACTGCTTCCTTTGCAAATGATATTTCTTTCCCTCCAAATGAGTTCTAAACCTGCTAAGAGTCCAGAACTTGCATCTGAAAGCACATGTTTTCATGGTAACGAGATCCCAGGAACTTTCCTTATTCACAAACTTGATCAAACTGCAGACCTTTTGGAAAGCTAATGTGAAACCTTTGAGTGGAACCTAACAAAAAGAAGATAGAGAATATAACAGAGAATTATATTAGAAAGAAAGAGTATGTTATTACTTTTTGATAGTCTTTTGTGGCACACTTTTTCCTGAAATCTGTAACAGTGGAGTGGTCCTGAGCATTTTCTGTGAATGTATAGATGGCGACAATGAGAAAGAACAGTTAGATGCAACAGGGAAGACTAGTAGAGAAGCTCACAAGAGCACCTTTAGGTTGGAGCGGTCTATGAGATGCTCAGAACTAGTGGGCACATAGATAAAGACTGCCAGATACGATGGGTGTTGTTCAAGATAGCTTCACTTTACTTTTGAAAACTAGGAAACCAACCTAATTAAATTAGATGATAGGTTTTTTTAACACCAGAATAAAACTAGAATACAGTAAGAAACAAGTGAAAATAGTATGCTCAAAAGTCATCAGCAATGTATGACTAATTTCAAACAGAAGTCTGTGGTTCAGAGCAGTTTAAATCACAAGATAGAAAAAAGAGTATCTGTAAGCTTTCTCTTGAGGATATTCCTGCAATGGGTAGGAGAAAGACAAGTATACATCTTAATTTCTGAAAGCATTCTTCTAGTGGTATTCAAGATGGAAATTTGTAACGTACACTATCTCTCAATAATATCCCTTTATAACATTATATTTGTTATTGTTTACAGTGCAAAAGATTGCATTTCAAGTGACAACTCCATTCCACTTGAGAATAAACCTATCATTTTGTGCCAGTCATTTATTTTAAATATCATACATACATATATTTATAATTTAACAGTGCTACACTCACTGAATAAAATTAAAATAGTTAAGTATCACATCTTGTTTCTAAGTATGTATAAGGGTATCACTGTGTATTTATCAATTTAAGGGGATGTAAAAGAAAACAAAGCTAAAACGCAAATTATGGGCAGAGAGAAAAATTGTGCAAAACATAATAAATTGTTAGGATTATGATAATTAGTGTTATGAGTCCACTTGTTGAGGCCTACAAATTACTCAGACATTTTGTCAAACATTATTCTGGGTGTGTCTGTGAGAATATTCCTGGATGAACTTAACATTTGAACCTGTAAAGCAGATTGCCCTCCCTAATGTGGAGGGGCCTCATCCAATCCCGTGAAGACCTGACTGGAACACGATGGCTGACTTGGAAGGAACTCTCACTGCCTGCTTGACATCAGCTTTTTCCTTTCTGTGGACTCAAACTGAAACATCAGCTCTTCTTAGGTCTCATACCTGCCAGTGTTTTGAGTGGAACTTACACCATCAATTCTCCTGGGATTCCAGCTCACCAACTGCAGATTTAGGGACTTTGCCAAAGATAAAGGTGTGAGCCAATAACCTTATAATAAATCTCTTCCTGAATATATATATATAAATCCTACTGGTTCTGTTTCTCTGGAGAACCCCGACTACCACTACAAATCTAAATATCTATTACATTTTTTTAATTCCTAAAAATCACCTAAGGCCAAATAAAATCCAACAACAAAATGGTCAAAGTATATGAATTGAAAATCACATAAGAAATATATCAATAAACAGTGCTCAACCCCACAAATAATCAAATAAACAAAATTAAAATGAGATGCCATCTTTTGCTTACCTGACGGGGCAAAAAAAGTAAAATAATGATAATATGCTTCTTCGTCATGAGTGCCATGGAATAGCATTCATATACTTATGTTCAGACTGGGAATGTTACAAAGCTTTGTGGAGACTTCACAGTGTCTATCAAATTCAAAAATGTGTACACTATACAATATAAACATCCTTCTTTAGAAATTAATCTACAGAAATACTATCCCAAATATTCAAAGATATATGGATTTCAATGCAGCATTATTTGTTACATAAAAAGAAATTTCTATCAATGAGAAATCAGTCAAATAAACTAATAATTTAAGGTACATTCATACGGTTCATTGTCACGTGACCTTAAACAAATAAGTGCATCGGTAAATACTGAAAAAAAAACTGGCATGATAAATTGAAAAGCTGTTAAGTGGAGAAAGAAAACTGCAGAACAGTATATATTAACCAATTCTATTTTTGCAACTATAGATATGAACTGTGTATGTGTACTACACTTTTGGAAGGAATATGCATTTATCAGGTTTTGTCTAAGAGTTTGGTAGTAGTTTTCATTTTCACTCTATTTTCAAAGGGTTAGAAAGGGGTTTTATTTTCACATTTACACTTTTGTTCAGTAGGCAAGAGGATGAGAATTCCTAACTGGAAATGGAAAATTCTATTAGCCAATAAAGGAAAGAGTATCTCAAAGGGCAAATCTCTACCTTACACAGAGATGTTTAAAAGGCAAATAACTTACCGCAGTACAGCAAAGCCACACAAAATTTTTGACAACCCATCTTACTTCAGAGAAGAACACCTGAAAAACAGTAAATCTAAAATTAACATACATACATATATACACACACACAAAACTGACACATATACATACAAGTTGTGGAAAATATAAAAGGAAAGGGATTATAAATAAGTCTCTACATTTTTATCATCTATAATACTCTGGATCAATATTAGGGAAGTGTCTCACATTATAGTACAACTGTGTTACACATTTATTCTTGGTCACATGCCATCTCACATAATTAAAATAAGCCACACATTCATATATGTGACATAATCAAAAAATGATCTTTGTTCTTCCTAAGATACAACAAAGCCAAATAGTTATAGCATAGGTAATGACTGCATATTTATTTCCAATTAAGAGGAAATTTTCCAATGCGTTTTTGGAAACCAGCTGTTCATTTGCAAATGAGGCGATACCCACATTGGAGAGTTATCAGAGTAATTCAAGGAAAATTTGATGGCTTAATATATCCAAATGATAAGCTGACTTCAGATACAAGCCTTCCCTTGAATTCTACTCAGTATGAACCACATTCTAAATAAGATTATTTGTAGTAGAATGTCATGAAGTAGAATGCTGGTTATTACTTTAATATATTGGGGTTAGATTTGTAATGACACACTAAAAGCTTCTGATATTCCAAATTTTTTATTACCTCAAACTGGAGATTCAGTTCACTATACACAAGTAAATCTGAGGACAAAAGCTGTGAATTAGGTGTCAGGTGTCTTAGATGCCAATCTAGGCTCTTTACTGATCAGCTATGAGATTGGGGACTACAACACCCTAGACCTCATGTTCCTCATCTACAAATCAGACTGATGGATAATCTCTACAGTCACTTTCAGAGCTTCCCTAATGCTGAGCGATTTTATTTGAAAACAGAACTCATATCTTTACCACAAAGAATATTATAAAATATTAAGTGAGAAACATGTCTCATAAGTCATGTCTCAGAATTGGTACCATGTGACGAGTGAACAGAAAAACATGTTTGTTTCATTCACAACTTAATAACTCTTGAGAAAAAATAGATGTACATAAATATTTTGTAGTCTGGTAAATTTGTTTTTCAGATTATCTGTTGTTTATCAAAATTTGGGTTCTTTATAAACTCACATCACAATATTTTTTCTTTCATAAGGCAGTTCCATTTTTAATTTCTTGAGGAAACTCAATACTGTTTCCACCAGTGGTTTCACCAATTCATATTCCCACCAGTAGTGCATGAGAGTTCCCTATTCTCCACATGCTCGTCAGCACTTACTGACTTATGATGATAGTCATTCTGACAGTTATGAGATGTATTTCATCATGGTTTTAATTTATATTTCTCTGATGACTATTATGTTGAGAATCGTTTCATGTCTACTGGACATTTGTATGTTTTCTTCAGAGAAGTGTCTGAAGTTTTTTTAAATATATTTTATTGATCATGCCATTACAGTTGTCCTATTCCCCCCTTCATTCCCCTCCACCCTGCACACCCCCTCCCACCCACATTCCTCCCCTGTAGTTCATGTCCATGTGTCATAAGTTCTTTAGCTTCTATATTTACCATACTATTCTTGCCCTCCCCGTTTATTTTCTACTTACCAGCTATGCTACTTACTCTCTGTACCTTCTCCCCCTCACTCCTTCTCCCACTCCCCTGTTGATAACCCTCCATGTGATCTCCATTTCTGTGGTTCTGTTCCTGTTCTAGTTGTTTGCTTAGTTTGTTTTTGTTTTAGTGTGGTTGTTAAAAACTGTGAGTTTGCTGTCTTTTTACTATACATGTTTTTTATCTTCTTTTTCTTACATAAGTCCGTTTAACATTTCATATAATAAGGGCTTGGTGATGATGAACTCCTTGAACTTGACCTTATCCGAGAAGCACTTTACCTGCCCTTCCATTCTAAATGAAAGCTTTGCTGGATAGAGCAATCTTGGAGGTAGGTCCTTGCCTTTCATGACTTGGAATACTTCTTTCCAGCCCCTTCTTGTCTATAAGGTCTCTTTTGAGAAATCAGCTGACAGTCTGATGGAAACTCCTTTGTAGGTGACTGTCCCCTTATCTCCTGCTGCTTCTAGGATTCTCTCCTTCACTTTAATCTGGGCTAATGTAATTATGATGTGCCTTGGTGTGTTCCTCCTTGGGTCCAACTTCTTTGGGACTCTCTGAGCTTCCTGGACTTCCTGGAAGTCTATTTCCTTTGCCAGGTTGGGGAAGTTTTCTTTTATTATTTGTTCAAATGAGTTTTCCACTTGTTGCTCTTCCTTCTGGTACCCCTATAAATTCAGATATTGGAACATTTAAAGATATCCTGGAGGTTCCTAAGTCTCTCCTCATTTTTTTTGAATTCTTGTTTCTTCATTGTCTTCTGCTTGGTTGCTTCTTTCTTCCTTCTGGTCCACTCCCTTGATTTGAGTCCCAGTTTTCTTTCCATCACTCTTGGTTCCCTGTGTATTTTCTTCATTTCACTTAGCATAGCCTGCATTTGTTCATCTAATTTGCAACCAAAATCAACCAGTTCTGTGAGCATCCTGATCACCAGTGCTTTGAACTGTGCATCTGATAGGTTGGGTAACTCTTGGTCTCTTAAAAGTATTGGCTCTGGGGCTTTGATTTGTTCTTCTGTTTCAGCCATTTTTGGTCTTGTCATGCCTCTTACATAGTAAGGGGTGGAGCCTTATGTGTTCACCAGAGTGGGGCAACCCAGTAGCTGGGTTGTGACACTATATGTGGGAGAGGGGTCTGAGAGGGAACAATGGGGCTCGCTGCACTCTCTGCTGGATTTCAGTCACTTCCCCTGCTTCCCACAAGCAAATTGGGCCCTTCTGGTGCTGATTCCTGGGTGGGTGGGCTTGTGTACATTCTAGGACCCTGTGGGTCTCTCCAACAAACTTTCCTGTGAGGCTGGGAGTCTCTCCCAGCACCTCAGCCCCCACAATGTTTTCAATTGGTGCTTTTAGGCTTTATTTCCCAGTGCTGGGGCCCTGGGTTGCACAGTCTGTCTTGCTCCCCATTTTCATCTGGTTTATCTGCCCGAGAATGTGTGACTGCAGTCAGCCAGCCGCCTTGTGTGCCTCACTGGGTCTGCTCATTGCCTCCTATCTGTCCTATCTGTTTTCCAAAGGGAAAACTAGTAGTAAAGTTACCAAAATAAGTCTAATATACAAAATGTCATTAAGTGGAATTCACTTTGTAAGAATGAGCTATTATACTTTAAGCTTTTGTATGGTCAAATTTTTCAATTATAAATTCAGAGTAATTAATATAAAATAAGAGCAACAGCTTAGGGAAATGTACAAATAATCCTAACACTAAGAACAGAAAAAAAATTGTCTAACTTTAAGATAGGAGGTAACACTCTCATTAATATCCTAATAGTAGCAGAGTTTCAGAGGAAGTTAGAAAATTGATCATTTCTCACCCCCACCATTGCTAATATTCCACTCTAAAGCCACCACTAGCTCTTCCCTGGAAGAGCAGAAGAGCCTCTTAATTGGTCTCCCTGCTGCTTGCTGCCCTTGCTCCCCAAATCAATCTATTCTCAATGCAGTGGCCAGAGTGGTCTTGTTAATGTGGAGGTCAGATTATGCCTCTTTCCCAAACCACTGCTGTATTCCCCTTTTCATATAGGGTAAAAGTCTCAGTTCTGCACAGAATCCCTGTTACCTCTCTGACCTCATCAACCACTGCTCTCCCCTCTGCTCAAGTCACCTTCTCGCGGAGCCTTCCCTGGCCAACCTATCTAAAATGTCAACACCTTCCCCACCCCAATCTGTCATATCTGTTATTGTGCTTAACTTTGTTCTCCTTAATACTAATGTGAAGGTGATTTTCTATTTTTCTTATTTATTGTCTAACTCTCTCCACTAGGATGTCAACTCCACCAGACCAATAACTTATTTTTTTACTATTGCCTTTTCATCATTACATCCTTCATACACAAAAGCCTGCCTCTCACATAGTAGGTGTTCCATATATATTAACTGAATGAATGAGTGAATCGCAAGATATAACTTTTCTCTGAAATATTCTCCAAAGTAAGCTGGTGCCATCACTCCAAGACAAAACTGAGAAAAAGCAGTCTTTAAAAGAAGCATTCTAATATCATCCACACACAGCTCTTTAAGAATCCAACTTAATACCACAGAGAATTTCAGAATGGTGATTCTCATTCAATATATACCTTATAGAGAATTTAGTGACAGCAATGTGCCAACTGCCTGGAAGACACTCATACACCCAAAATTAAAGCTATAATTTAATAAGGTTGACAAACTCTGTAAAATTTGTGCAAAACTCTGAAATTAAGAATTCTTCTATATTCAGTACCATTCCACATCAGTGTCAGTTGTACAGCAAAGTAGCCAGAAAATCATGCTCTCTACAGAATGTTCCCCCACATGGGCCCCAAGCTGGACCCACCTGGACCAATACCCACTTATTTTGACATTATTGACTATATTCATCACACTGTAAACCACATCCCTGTAGCTATTCTACTAGTACAAATTTGTACTAATTAATCCCTTCATCTTCCCCCCACCAGTGTCTCCCCTCTGGCAGCTGTCAGTTTGAGCTCTTTATGAGTCTGTTTCTATTTTATTAGTTTATTTTGCTCCTTAGATTCCACATATAAGTGGAATCATATGGTATTTGTCTTTCTCTCACTAGCTTATTACACTTAGCATAATACTCTTCAGGTCTGCTGAGGCAGTCACAAAAGGTAAGGTTTCCTTCTTTTTTGTGGCCGAATAGCACTCCATCATGTAAATGTGCTGCCACTTCTTGTTATCTACTCATCTGCTGATGACTACTTGGGCTGCTTCCAAATCTTGACTATTATAAATAATGCTGCAATGAATATAAGGATGCATATATTCTTTCAAATCAGTGTTTTGTGCATCTTCAGATACATTCTCAGAAGTGGAATCACTGGGTCATAAGGCAATTCCATTTTTAATTTTTTGAGGAACCTCTACACTGTTTTCCATAGTGGTTGAACCAATCTACATTCTCA